TCTGGGAAATATACGTTTGACTCGTAATTTTATTCGCCTTTTAGATGGTCTTCTGTTAGGTTGGGAAGACAGGTGTAATAACCAACGTTGTCGTATTATTGTCCTAAATGGAAGTAAAGCTGAGTCCACGATTTTTACACGCAAGTTAATCTAAGTATTATCAGCTTTAAGTTCATTAATCGAAGGTTAAATGAAACCCAATTGAAATATCTATTGTAATATATATTATAGGATGGGACTGTACCCAGTCGTAGAGGAAGTCGCGAAGACCCTGGAAACCGTAGACGGGTTCCGCTTGAGACAGTTATGTGATGTAAAACGCCAACTAGAACAAGACCGCGACACGCGGAAAGCACTATATAAGAAGTACCATAGAGCTTTCAATATCGTGGACGGGACTGATACTGCCCTTATGGCAACCAGCATGGGACTAGGGGCGGCAGGTGTTGGGTTGTTAGCCACCATCGTGGCCGCACCTATAGTGCTAGGCATTGAAATACCAGCTGCGGTTGTAGGGTGGCAGGGTTGGTGTTTAAGTTTGTGTCCCGCGGACTGCATCGTAAAGCGTTGAAACACGACGAGATCAGGGTTCTAGCCGAAGCAAAGCTGAACACAGTAAGTGAGCGTATTTCGGCAGCACTCACCGACAGTAAGATCTCAGAGGAGGAATTTCGTTCAATCCTCTCTGAACTCGACAAGTACCGTCAGATGAAACAAGAAATCCGGTCCAAGTCTCGTAAGTCTGCTATCAGCGAAGACGAGAAAAAAAAGTACATAGAACAGGGGGTACGAAAAGCCCAGCAAGCCTTTATTACGAACACCAAAGAGATCATAGGCGATTCACATTAAACTGTTTCATCGAGGTCAACGCGACATAGCGGCACAGTAGTGCCACGTGGGGTCGGGAAGGTAACTGGGGGGTTCAAAAGTAGTAGACAATGGTTGGTGAGATCTATGGGGCCTGACAAAGCTTTATTTGTGAAATAAGGCTTTGCAGAGGCTTTGTTGGACTTGGTCTCGGACTATCATTGTATCTACTACTGCTGATGAACGTAAAGAAATACAACTTCACTTCTAAAGAATAATTTTGAAAAAAAACACAATGCATAACGTTCCATGACTTCCCAGGTGCAAAATTTACACTGATGAAACTGATAAGACTTCACAAGTGTGAGGTCACAGTGCTGCTGTGAGGAAACACAATGTCTCCTCATGGACAGGAGACTCTTTCAGGACACTGTAGTTCATCATTTGTCAAAGTTTGCTTTTTGCTTTCCAAAGTTCTTGCAAGGTAGTATTCATCTTCCCAGCTCATCCCGTGTGTGTTTGATCGAGTTCAAGACCGGGGACCAGGAAATCAGCAAAGGGACATAAGAAGTTATGCGTCAGAACTGCAGTGTGGAACACAGACTTGTCATGTTGAAATGTCAGTCCAGGACAATAGGGTTGCATGAATAGCAGAAGATTACCATGATTGACTATCAACTGAGACTGACCGGTGGCACGAAATGCTCTCCAAACCATTACGATGCCCTCTCAAAATAGGTCAGCCTTGGGAAAAACTGTTTGAGGTAAATGGTCGCGAAGATGAAGTAACCACATTGTATCGTCCATCTTGGTGACACGCATCGCAGATCACACACCGATTTTGCTACAGGACATCCCTTCATCGTGCATCTTTTCTAAAAGTCTAGGCTCTTTCATGTCAAGCATACTTAAAGGTCACATGCAACCAAAAATCAAACATAATTAAAACACAATTATCACTTCTTCATCACATATAATATACATTGCTGTATATGAAAAAACATATAAACAAAATTATAAGCGTACAATCGCAAATCAAAAGTGCAATATTTTGTACCCTCGAAACGAAGCAGCCGGGATACCGAACCCAGTCAGAGTGGGTGGGCGTGCATAAGTGTAACGAAGACTTTTCATTGGCTGGTTCATTTTGCCGATACGCTCATCTGTGTGTATATAGAGATGTTGGGTTTTGTAAATACCTGCTCATTTTTTTTCTGCATTTGCGTTCGATCCAATCAACAAATACTGAGATGGTGAACTACTGCGTGGCTGGAAACTGTCGTTCGTCCAAGTACAATGCAGGACTTGAAACTGACATTCGGAGTTTGCACTGGTTTCCGTCCGACCCAGTGCGGCGAGAAAAATGGATGCAGTTTGTTCGAGAGAAGCGCTCGTGGTGTCAGTATAACAAGTATTCGCGATTATGCTCCGATCATTTTAGTGATGACTGCTTGAAGACGCTGAATAGAAGACTACTGTCGCCGAAAGCTATACCTTCGATCCAGAAGAAACTGACACCAAACACCGGTCCTCTACCTCATGTTGACATGTTCGGACATCCAACAAAGCGAAAGAGAAAAGAGTCAAGCAAGGACATGGTAAATAGTACACACATATGTTTAGATACATACATCGTGAATTATAAATTACCAAGCAAAATAATGAGTTCTAGAATTTGTACATCTGTACATCCCCCGTTACTATTTATAGCTACTGTTCACTTAGAAAACATACCATCATTCCTGAAGAATGATGGCAAATATGTGAATATATCGTACATACTCGAATGGGAATCATTTATCAATGTTTTATGATGTAAATCGTGTCTTTGGAATAGTTTTCATGTCAGATGTTATCACTAGTGTTGATATTTCTAGGCCCAAGTGACATTAGCCTATCTTGTATTTGTATGAATCTGCTCTTGAATTATGTTGACATTTTGCTTCATAGTTACCACAAACACACCACTGTCCAAATGTTGTTACTCCCCATTAGGTCATTCGCCTCTCACTATAAAGATATTATTATTATCATGCATGTTCTTCAAAATTGGAGGGATGTAGTTGCTGATGATGCATAACTGTAAAAATCATTTGGAAAAAATACTTCAACATTTAAAGATTATAAAAAATAACATTCTAATGAATTCTACTTACTTTTATGGCATGTTTTCATGAATTCATTTTCTATATATGTTCAGTTATTACTATAATTGTCTGATATTGGCATTGTATGAAAATAAAAATATGTAAAATATGTTATGTACAATCAGAGTTACATATTAGCAATATTTTTAAATATCAATTCCATCTGTAATAACTTTGCTTGACTTACTTTGATACAGATAGTTACACAACTACTTGCGACTGTGCGAGAAGATCTACCTCACCTGACACCCCACATCTACCACTATAGACCTTTTCTTGGATGATCACGATGGATCATGTGATCAAGCATCCACCCCACAACTAGCTGTCACAGTTGAGGAAGCCATCCCAGATGTAGCCTCTATCTCAGAACTACAACCAGCAAGTTCATCTACTGGAGAAACACAACAGGTATATAATTGTGTGCATGCCAGTAATGCTGCATAATGCAAGGAAATCGTGACTGCGAGAAATGTAAGAGAAAGTAGTGAAAATAGCAACTGTCAGAGGAGCAAATGTCTAATGATGATGATGTTGTTTTGACATTTATATATTTGTAATTTAATACAACAATTTATTAAAATTACATGTATGCGTTTTCATTCACTCCAATAAAAGTTTCCTTTTTTAATGTTGACTTTCATTTTTCTTTATTAGAGTCAACAGCTAGTCTGCCACCATCCAAGAAAGTTCTAAAAACAACATCAGCCCAGACTTCAAAGAGAGTTTATGTCTGCAGGAGGTCGGCTGCAACTCAGGCATCAGTCAAATCTGAGTGCAAAGGTACCAGTGTGTATAACATTTTGCAATCAACAGACATCATAACATGTCATGTGTACAAGTATCACACCTGCCTGTCTGTGTAATTACATAATGTGACAGAGACAGAACTCAGGTGCACGAGCCATAAATCAATTGGTTTTGTTTATGGTCTATAGCCTGATAGGTGTTAGTTTAAATTGCATGTGGTCAGTGATTGAAGTTGTGTACTGCATATTGTCATTAGCTGACAGGCAGGCAGACATATAGGTGTCAATAAAACAGAGACATTGAGTTTTGTCTGTGACAGAGGCTGCCTATCACAATCAACATGTTTTTTCTATGTTTCCATAGACATGAATTCAAACATTTCAGTTTTCAAGCTGAGCAATTTTTACGATGAAATTAGTATTCCCAATGCTACACTTTCTTGAAAACTTGCAAAAGCAAGATGTGAAAAAAATTGAAAAATGTATGGAACCAGTGTATTTTTATTACTGCAGACCAAAAAAAAGCTACTATTTTAATTAAAAGTATTTATCCTACCTACTCAAGATATGGTGTATAATGAATAGTTGAATTGGTTTTGTATTTATTTTCCGGCCTACCAACCAAGACCTAGTAGTAGGTAGTATTACGATCTGCAATGTGACAATTTGCATGTCATTTTTAATTTTGATACTTCTTCAGCCTACAGATAAGGAGTGCAATTGTTGTATCACGATACACTTTCATAATAACTTCTATGTATATAATTTTTAATGTCCAGATTTTTTTAGACAATGATGTAGAGGTATTCCTGGTTCTGTATTACAGGGACATCCACTGAGTCCGCCGTGAAGATGACATCTGTTGGAATCCAGTGCTCACTTCTAGAACTACCACTGCCTGTTCATGACGACACTGACAAGCCCGAGTCAGCCCATGATGAGATGGGCCCAACCTGGCAGCCTCCTCTCTGTTACAAGCACAGGACAGTGATGACGAAAACTTTGACAGCAAGTGTGACCGGTACATTTGTAATAAATTTAATACAAGTTCAAATACATTTTAGATTTATTTTATCCCCCGCCCCAACAGCATTGACTTGGGGCTATATTAAGGTCCCAGTCTGGCCCAGAACTCAAAACCGTTAACATTGATGTGTTATGATCTTTAAATTGTTTCTAATATCAACCTGAACTCAAGCAATGATCAACTGACCAATATTACTGCAAGAAGAAATCTGTAAATTACACTAAAATCACAAGTTGTAGGAACTTTTTACATATTCTGACACATAAAGAACATTCCAGCTGGGAACATTCTGCTGTCTGCTTCAATCTTATATTCTGGATCTCTCCCAAGAAAGTCACTCCTAATGCTGCAGTACCTTGGTATGTCTTCAGTCAGTGTTAGGACTTTCTTCCAACATCAGAGGTCCCTGTTACACCCAGTGATTGAGAGAGTATGGAAAGAAGAACAGAGGATGATTCTAGATGAAATTCGATTCACAGAGGAACCTCTCGTCCTGGGTGGAGATGGAAGGGCAGACACTCTAGGCCACAATGCTAAGTTTGGCTCCTACACCCTGATGGAACTGGGTAGCAGCAAAGTTGTACATGTAGAACTAGTGCAGGTATAGTTTATGTCATTTTCTTTTATTGTTCATGCACAAAAAGAAAAGTTATAACAAATAGGTATCATTGGAAATTTAATCTCAAGTGAAGTAAAGTGTAAAAGATAATCATTAACTGCTTACACACTGGTCACAAAATAGTTATCTTGTGGTGGAAAGTGGAATTTTACCGTTCCTTGACTAAGCTATCGGTGTTAGGATGAATAAAGAAAATGACGTACAATGAGGAATTTGTATATTCATGACATCCGTTTATAATGTTCAATGTAATAGTGCAACAAGGGTTTATCATGTGTGTAATATCTATACAAGATGTCTTAACTTTCTTCAGAGCAATGAGGTGAAAACTCCAACGCCATGGAAAAAGAGGGCCTGGCTCGTAGTGTTCACTTCCTCAGAGAAGAAGAGATGAACATCCATACCATGGTGACAGACTGACACCTCCAAATTCAGAAGTGGATTCGAGAAGAGATGCCTGATACTATACACCACTATGATGTATGGCATGTGGCTAAAGGTACATTGAAATTGTGAACAATACAAACTGGGTTTTGTTGTTTGATTATGATTTTCATGGATCATTTATTCACCAGGTTTTTTTGTAATTTGTAATGATTATTTACCATTTGTTCATTGCTAAAGGTATAAACGTTTCTGTACTTTTATTTTATGTGTCTTTTTACAGGAAGTAATAGTGTTTTTTTTTTTTAATCGTAAATAATCATTGAAATGATGAGCTGGGTTTTAAAAAATCAGGTTTGCGAAAGAAGATGGAGGCCTTGGCAAAAGAGAAAGACTGCAGCATAGTTGGCAGATGGGTCCGCAGTATCTGCAATCACCTCTGTTGGGCCGCAGCATCCACTCCTGATGGGAATGGGGACGTCATCAGAGACAAATGGTTATCTGTAGTAAACCACATGCAGAATATTCATCACGGCCATGGGAAACACTTCCCCAACTGTCTACATCCAGATCTAGGCCAAGATGACCAGAAGAGAAAATGGTTGAAGTCAGGTATGGCAGAAATATATATCTGCACATGACAAAATCATTTTGACAATTGATACTAAGCTATATAACTTTGATATTCAATTTGGAAGCGTTCTCTTTAGAATGGATCTTCTATTCTGTTATATTCTATTATGCGATCAAAATTGTTAATGGATAAAAATTGTGTCTTTCACAGGATCCAAGGCCTGTGAAAAGCTCAGTCAACTCCTTGAGCAGCCTCGTCTTTTTGCGCGATGTACAGAAACTCTCCCAGGCTACCAGACATCCAAAATCGAAGCCTATCACAGTGTGGTCAATCATTTTGCACCGAAGATGATTGGTTTCTCTTATCTTGGCATGCAGTCCAGGTGTTATGTGACAAAATAGCATTGACTGGTCAATTTACCATCAAATCCTGTTGTGTTCCTAACAAATGACACATTTTTCCTGATATCTTGAAACCAGATGCGAAAACTGTTCCGTTGATTATATTCCTTTCATAAATATGTTTCACTGATAATCATAAATATAACTGACATGTATGAATGCGACAGATATAAATATATTTCATTTTTTTGTCCAGATTGTATCTTGCCTCCATGGACTTCCAGGCAACAAGCATTTAGCAAAGCCGGAAAACCACAGGTATCGGTGTCCTATCCCAAGTACAAGAAGGGACAGTCAGTGATCCATCTTGTCAAGACAGCGAGGACCTATGATATGTCTGATTGTGTACAATACTCAAGCTACAATGTCAATCCAAAGTCGTTCACAAGCTATTGATCAAATTACTGGATAATTTTGCATGTGCCATTACCTATTGGTAGAAACTCTGAAAGTGTGCAACGTTACTGTTTGATCTAGGTCTCTGTGTTAGCAAAACCTACACTTTTGACCCCACAAAGAGTCCATGATTTTGCTCAAGGTCTTAAAATTTTCATTAACGCTTATGGAAATTACATTTTTTTTTCACAAGTGTCTTATTTCATTACAATGATATCCTAAATTGCACATTGTTATCATATTGTATTTTGAATTGCAGATTATGTGGATCGCCTTTTATCAAGAACCTGCCAGGAGGTTGGCAACGACCAAAAGAACTGCTGCACAAAGAACCTAATTCCAGCACCCCTCACACACACATTCAAGAGATTAACAAAGGAAGATGCCATTGCCAGACACAAGACACGTTTCAGCAGACAGACTCTCATGCCATCAATGAAACACAGTGACAGACACTGAAAAATAGACATTCTTTTATTTTGTCAATATGCATGATATAGTACAGTGTTACTATCCTAAAGTTATTTATACATTAATGTTTGCAATATGTATGTCTAGCATAATTTGTATATATATATGTACATTATGTATTAACAACGTTTGATGGTGATGTAACCCCAAAGAAACTGAATAAAAGAACCCTGATACAGTACAATAACATAATACTCAACATACACTATAAATTATTAAACTTGGTAAAATAAATTGTAAATATTACATTCACTGAATTGGAGTGGGAAAAGCTAAATATATTATTCTTGCCACAAAGTCATTGTTTGTCATTACTCTAAAGATGGATACTTGAAGCCACAAAATTCTTCTGATGGAAATTCCGTTCTTATGGCTCTAACTGCACATGCAGGAAGTGGCACTCTCACTTTCCTTCCGAGGTATCCACAGCACCATCTCACAAACTGTCGGTAGCCTGTGTATCTGTATCGCCTGAAAGCAAAAATAATGTAATCATAATTATTATTTTACAGTGTTGATCTAAATCAGAATTCAATCAATTGAAGATACAATCTACTGAATTAGCTTTACTTCTGTACATATTTATTCACATTACCTGTTGACAGCTTGATCAGCCACATCTACCTCTCCATACTGCTGTCTGTACTGGAAGTATGCTGTCTGCAGCACCCATCTGTTACAGCACACCCCAGCAAAGCCAGGTTGTTGAGTGATGCAGTTTACTGATGGCAGGCCTTCTCTCTCCACTTCATCAATCTTGGCCACAGTTGTAGGGTTCTCCTGACAGCAGCTACACTCTTCTGCAGTTGGGTGTGCAATACCCTGTCCACACTTGCACCTAAAAATATTTAAAAGCATCAGTGCATATAATTCTAAAATAAAGCTCCATTCATCAAATACCGTTCCTAATTAAACTACATATTGTCCAAGATATCTTTTATGGATTAAATTTTCTTTTTGATTTATTTCAATTTTATAAATATGAAATAAGTTTAATCCATAAAAATAAAATGTACAATTTCTAATTGCCACTGAAACTACATATTCTTACAATTTCACTAAGTTCTGTAGATCTTCTACATTTTTTAGCGGACTAATAGACCTACTTAAAAGCAAACAAATTGAAAATAAGTTAACGTGACCATTCTTTAATTGGGGGACTGTCTAAATAATCATGGATGTAGTTCGGTTGGTAGAGTGTCCGCTCATCACCCAGAAGAACAGGGTTCGATTCCCGCCGGCGTCCTAACAAAAACATTAAAAGATGGGAGTTGTTGCTTCCTTGCTTGGTGCTAAGCTGATATAAGGTTACACTCAGCTGGCGCTACACTGCGGTTGTAAAGTGTGCCTCCAATGCACACACAAAACAAATTTCATTGTACTCAATGATAATAATGAATTCTTCTTCTTATTATTATTCACAAGTTTTAATGTCAAATGCTGGACTAGTGTTTCTATTCAAGATTAATAACTAACATTAAAAAAATAAATTTATATGAAGTCTCTGATTTGAAATAAAGTAGAAAACATTGATACGAAAATCTAGTAGGTCACAAACCATTCAGTGTTTTCTGTGCGCCTGTTATCCATATATCCTAAACCAGGATCTCTCCGGGGTTCCCTCGCTGTCACTTTCATCTGTTACTGGTTCAAACATGTAGGGTCTACTTCTGGGTGTTGCTGTCAACTTCCTCCTCGGTTGAGTGTCCATCTTCTGAAAAGAATTCACATTCCATATCTAAAGCCATGTTTGGTGAACTCGAATCACCGTCTTGAAACCCAACATCTTGATCTTATTTGACAGTTAGAAATTCTGACAATGCTAAATAATGACGTTGCTGTAAGTATCGAACTGAGAAAGTGACTCGGTAACAAGTACGTGGCGGTGAAATAGTCAAATGTAATTATATAATCAGTTAAATCGGTAATCTACTGTCATAACATATAAAAGCTCGCGCCTGAGAAATATCAACAAAACATTAGAAAATATAAGCTCACATCAAAGCCTCCCTGATTCTATGAGTACTCACCCGGTCACCGCCAAGAAAGGCTGTCCGTCTTGAAATGTCGAACGCCTCACTGGTTGACACATATAGCTGAGTAGATCTAGATCCGGGATCCTTACAAGTTTCTTTATGCAACGAATAGATTATTAACTATTTATTTGTGTACACAACCAGGATTTGACTACTCCTGCTCACGACCTTATAATCCGGGCTTACATCCTGTTTCAAGCTCCGCGAACCTATTCAGTGCGCATGCGTCAGGAGCGCAGCGCAGCCCAGCTGTTGAAACTCCGTTTTCCCCGAAAAATCGGAAATTTCGGGGAAAATTAGTGAATCGTTTGAACTCCGATTTCGCGCGGTTTTTTCATCGCGTTATTTTCAACTTTATAAGTTGAATTTGCATTATTGATGATTTGTTTCGGTAAGTCCATACCGAAAGGTATCAGAATCTGCAAAGTTGTGTTTTACGTTGCATGTGACCTTTAATTAATTGTACTGTTGTGTTTTAAAATCTGTTGAGAAGACTGCACTGAATGTACCGCAATTGTGAACGTTTGTTATCAATGTGTTGTCTGCCTTTGTGGCACGTGTATATGCGACCTATATCTTTTGAGATATCGTGTAAAGAACGTGCTTTATATGTGCATCTCTGCTTGGACCAGAAGTTTCAAAATGGATTCGGGTAGTGTTTAATTAATACTGGTCGTTAGATTTAGCTCATAACAATAAATACTCTGCAATACGTTGTGTTCTTTCATCTGCGATGTTATCTATGTGTTCTGGAAAACCATATTTTACAATGTTATACATATTATGTGTATAAATAGCTATAGAACACTGTTATGATACCATTATGACTAACTGCAAACATCAGTCTTATTACAATGCTTCAAACCCATACCAATGCCGTAATAATAATAGTTTTTTCAATTACATCAACCTCAGTTTAAACACATCCATTCAAAAATCTAGTGAACAACACTATCCCATTACGCACTCTTCATACTTTCTTATAGATGGATATCTGAGGTACGATATGCACAACAGTATTCTATAGCTATTTATACAGTAACATTACACAAGATGTTGTTGGCATTTCAGGTAGCAGCTGTGATTGATTGATTGATTGTTCGATTATGGCCATGACAGTAATTGTGCAAGTCTTACAGCACATACGACTGTAGATCCCGTAGGCATCAGGTGTTGTGTATGTATGATTTCATATAGCTACTGAAAATGTGTTGATATATTTAAAAAAAAAATTAACAACAGTTTAAAACTTTAAACGCAATCGTGAAATTAATATTTACCTAAAAGAGTTTTATTACATAAAGTCAAATTTGCTACTTTGTACCATGATGGATTTGAGCATATGACGGACAGGTTTATTTCATTAAGAGGCCTCCGTCCCAGAGTACATACATTGATAATTCATTTCCTTGGACATGAATAGTAATATAGCAATAATAAATTAAAGTTACATGCCAGTTATGATTCTCTATCTCTGGTAATCTAGTTGTTTTAATGTCCTTTGTCGACTGATTTGATAATGTAACATTATATAGTGTCATTGTATAACTTGTTTGAGTCATGACACGGCTGAAATATTGCTGATGTGACTATAAATCTTAACTCAGTACCAATAAGGCATCCCAATGGTGTAGCATGATGACCAACAATGCAAGTATATACATATTCTTTCACCATACCAACTATCCAACGAGTTTAATGAATTAAAGGTCGTGAGAACAAACGGTGTCCATATTGACTTTTAATTGTTTTTTACAGATGTTCAACATGAAACGTCTGACCTTGCTTGTCCTTCTAGTCTACACATGCCTGTTTGTGTTATGGGGTAGTTATGACAGGTAAGTGTTGTTATGTGGCAGTATTATAAGTTGTTCACTGGTCTCGTGGGGCCGTCAACCCATGGGCCCTGAGGGACCAGTGAACAACGTATTTATCTTACCGAACACCTTCATGTTAATTTTGAATTGTATGAAGCACGGTACAAATCTTTTGTAGCCATCGCTAGATTTTGCTGACAAGAAAAACAGATTTAGAGTTATCTCCCTTCCATCGATTTGCATTCGCAAAACATCGGTAATTTCCGTACATCATACGTGATTCAATGTTATTCGAGATAAAGAATTACTACCACGAAGTACCAAATGATTGAGTTGTAATTGACAGCGAGGTACATTGAAATGTTACTCGCATGTAAGCGGGGTACATTGAAAATAATAGAAGAGAGCTAAGCCAATCAGAAAGCGACATTTATGTGTGAGGTAAGATAAAAGTCATTGTAAAACAGTGTTGTTAGTGTTTTGGGGTGGCTGATTGTGTTGGGAGGGGTGTGGTAATGGGATGTAGGGTTGTGGGGATTTTGGGTTGCTGATTGTTTACAAACCTAGGCAAGTGCCCATCTACAATCCAGGGATCAACAGCATGAACATCGATCTACGCAACTGGGATACGATGACTTGTGTCAACTAAGTCAGCGAGCCTGATCACCCGATACCTTAGTCGCCTCTTACGACAACCAAAGTCAGCAGGGTTCCAAGTATCTCACACCTTTCCTGTATTTCTTCCTGAGCATCGCTCTACGCAATTTGGACACGAGTCTGACAGCACGATCCTTTTATTCGCCTCTTAAGACAAGCAAGGGTTGCTGAAGGCCAATTCTAACCCGGATTTTCACGGGCAAGTCAACTGTTTCATATTTAGATCTATGCATAAAGATTCAGGTGACAAAAACTCTCCACAAGGCCGTATGACAGAAGGGATGATTTCAACTTTCAATAGTCAGCTTCCCTTTCATGTCGAGAAATATTCCAACACCTCCATCCTTTGGTTGTTTTATATAACGTTTGAGGTACAATCAGGCGTGCTCTTTCTTTCAGGATTTCAAAGAGCGTCATACCACTCTTGCTCAGTTATGTGATCAAGGTCACAACATTCAAGGCCTTCAGTCAAGAAGTTTTATGGTAGATATATGAAATACATGTGGAGGAAATTTCCGGATTTGATGCATCAGTGACAAAAATATTGTCCGTTGTTCCCTATTTTTGACTTATACCATACTTCCCGAATTCTTTCAGGTGGATAAATACTAGACTCAGCATATGTTTATGACGGGTGCCATCTGTGGGGTGCAATCCAATGACTGGATTGTCTGGTTCAGACCCGATTTGTTTACAAACAACATCGTACACCTGTAATACTGCTGAAAACAAACATGCAAGGGCATGTGCTGATCTAAAAAGCCATTTCCACCGGACGAGGAATGTTTTAAGAGCAATTCTTTAGCCTGTCGCTGAACGCATTAAGTTTTTGCTTAACCAAGAAAGTTTTCATCATGGACCTCCTCAACACAGATCCCAACACACTTCTTTCTCATCTCCTTTAAGATGGATTAGATTGAACTGCTTGCCAGTTGAGAATCCATACGAAAGTATGTATGAAGTCCATCCATTGCACGATCCAGAGTATGCAGATGGCGTTATGGAAAATTACAAAATTCTTTGGAATAGGCCCACATACAGCCCCAGATTATATTCAAGCCAACAAAACTGATCTTGTCCTTTTCGATAAAACCAATAGTGATATCTATACTGAGTCAAAAAGAAACTTCACAAAATGTAATGTGAAAATAATGAATAATTTTTCTCTGATGATACATCTATGTATCCGAAATGGGATCCTATCTTTCGACTCTAGAAAACGTTAGCAAAACCCACTCAAACCCATCCATTCAACGTGCAAATGACGTAAGTGTCAAATCAGGTTTTGCACGTGCAGTCGATCACGCGTGATCTTTGCATCGAAGTTTTCTTTATAATAATAATAATAATAAATGCATATTTATAATGCGCCCCTTCCACACCCTAAAGGCATGCCCAAAGCGCTACAGAATATTTACACTGGAGTATTTACAGATGAAGTTATACATAATATACTGAGAAAAGGCGAGTTTTAAGTCTGGACTTAAAAATGTCAATTGTGGCAGAGCTTTTAAGGGCACATGGGAGAGAGTTCCAAAGCACAGGCGCGGAGTAAAGAGAATGATCGGTGTCCAGAAGGATTTCAGTTTGTAGGATGGGATGACCAGTCGGTTTTGTGTGTTT